TGGGGGTGCTGGGTGAGAAAGCAGTGTAAGAGCTACCGGCGGCCACTTCCTCCAGGAAGCCCCCCTGAACACCCAGAAGCCCTTCAAGTTCACAGATTTATTGGTTCCTGTTGGGGAGGGCCCTCTGCCACCACTGTCCAGGAGCTGCCTCAAGCCAGTTGTGGGAGACTGGTTTGTTCCCTGAGTGCCTGGGTTCCCAACAGGCTGTCTTCACTCGGGGTCTGCAGGCCCCAGAGTACTCTGGAACAGTTTCAGGATATGGGTCTCCATCACCTGTTGCACTGTGGGAGGAGGTGGGAGTGGGTGAGGGGAGTGGAACCGCGCTGCTCAACCTCAAATGTAAAATGGAGGCCGTGAGCAGCAATGAAGAGAGACCCAGAAGGTGGTTCAGACCAGCCTGGAGGCTGGGGCCCTTCACAGGTGGGCAGGAAGGCGCAGGACTTACCTTGAGAAAAGGCCATTTTAAGACAAGGCCTGCCTAGCTCCCCTCCACTATCCTGCTGTTGCTATCCACTGAGGCAAAGCAATACCTGACCCTCAGCCAATGTGGCCACACAATTGTTCTCCTAGTCTCCAGAACCATAAATCCAAATAAAACTTTTTTATCTCTTGTATGCTGTTATAGCAACAGAAATAGATAAAAGTTTGGGGTGGCCTCAGTGAAATGCTCCACCCAGCACTGTGAGGCAGAGTGTGTGTCTGTGGCTTGGGCTAAGCTGGGGGGCTATTGTCTCTGAGTGTCTTTGTGTACCCCAGAGTGGCTGCTATCCTTGTCAGGTACTGGTGTTCCTACCAAAGCCCAAGAGTGCCAGGAGCCAGGATGAGGAGGTGCCTGGCCTCCCTGTGCTAGGAGGCATCATCTGGCACCCTCAGTGACATCCAGTGTACCCCTCTGTGGCCACCCCACACAGGGCCCCTCAGCCCACCTTTGCGGTATCCCAGGGCCACGGCGAGGTCCATTGGGGTATAGCCAGAGTCGGCCTCTGTGGTGAGGTCAGCTCCCCGGGCTGCAAAGTGGAACAAGCACTGTCACAGGGCTGCATCTGAGAGTTGAGAGCCCATGGACTGCAGGGCTGAAGTACCCCCCAAGGTACAGCTGCAGGTCTGCAGTCTGCCCTTTGTCCATGTGACCTTGGGCAGTGACAAGACATCAGTACCCATCCCCCAAGAAGAAGATTTAGAGTCTGGGGCATGAGGGATGGGGGGTGGGGACAGCTCAACATGGCTGACTCAATCCAACACAAAAGCCCACAGACTACTCTGCTTCTTCTTGTATACTCTTGGAGATCACGATTCCCAAAGGGCCTCATGGTCTGTCTCCTACTCACCCAGTAAGGCCTCCACACACTTTACATGGTTCCCTCGCACGGCGTAGAGTAGTGGTGTTCCCCCATTCTGTGGGATAAGACCAGGTGAAAACCAATGCTAGGCCTCTGCTCTGCCCCTGCCCTCTGGCTGCCAATTCAACCCACTTCCTGTCTACCACATTGCTCTCCATTCTGTGTCTCTTAGACACCCATCTGGCAGCTGCTGGTGTACAGCTCTACACTGGGAACTCTGTCAGGCGTGATGACAGTTGTCCTGCACCCCCTGGCTCCTCCCGGGACTCCATCCATGTGGAGCAGAAGTGGAAGCCAGAGTCTGACAGGTGAGGTGGCCGAGCCTCACCCAACCTCACCCAGTCATAGGTGTTGATGTCCACGTCCTGCTCGAGCAACAACCTCACAATGTCCGTGTAGCCGCCCATGCTGGCAAGTGACAGGGCACTTTCCCTCTCCTTGGCCAGGATGTGGGGGTCAGCACCCTAGGAAAGCAGAAAAGGTTTGGGATCCCTGACATCTCAGGGTCCCCAGGTAGGGCACCTCAAAGGCAGCAGCTTCAGAAGCTGAGACCCCAGCCTGTCCTTGCATCCCCAGGACATACCCAGTCTAGCAGGAAGCGAACTGTCTCGATTTCTCCAAAGGCTGAGGCCCAGATGAGGGGAGTGAAGCCACGCTCATCTGGTTTGTTGATCAGGTTGTCACCTGACAAGTGAGAGGGACATGGGGTGGGGAATGGCAAGATTGCCAGCTCTTATGAGTGGGGTGGGCAGGGTTCAGAGGTAACATGAAGGGGAACATACACAAAACATACATGCACACACAAGCCACTCCCACATACAAGTTCCCTTACCAGACAGGCATGTGCACGCCAGCACACACAGGACACATACCCTTCCGCAGATGGTCTTTCAGTTGGCTCAGCTCCCCTTGGGCTGCAAGCTGGTGGACAGACAGGGCTGGGGCCAGAGACAGGCACAGTGTTCACTCTTCATCCCCTCCCCAGGCCTCAGTTTACCCTGCTTAAAATTGATCTCTATTTTTTTTTTTTTTTGAGAGAGGGTCTCATGTAGTCCATGCTGGACTGCAACTTGCTTTGTAGCCAAGGATGACCTGGAATTGCTGATCTTCTAGAGTGCTGGGGTGACAGTTTATGAGGAGCCTGAAATCAACTCAGAACTCTGTGGACCCTGGTGAGCAGTCTACCAACTGAGCCAAGTTCCTCAATCCCTTGTAGCTTTTCTTTGTCTTGGTTGGCCTCCCACCCAGTAAGTAGCCAGAGATGACCTTGAACTTCTGACCACCCCCCCCCCCACACACACACCTCCAAATGCTGGACCATGGGGTGCCATGCCAGGTTTGTGAGGAATCCTTTAAACCCACCGCCATCCCCCTTGAGTTCTACTCACAATCCAGGGTGGCTGGCAGAGCCGAGACCTCATTCCCACGTTGCCGGTTTGTGAGGGTTGTTGAGTGCTTCAAGAAACTGCCTGCAGGGAGACAAGGGGCTGTTTCCCTGGTGTCTGTATGTGTCTCACCCTGACATATGCTGCAGGCTCTGTGTGCATACCAACACCCACACAGACACTGACAGTAAATAAACAACCATTTTAAAGGAAGGGCAAAGGAGTAAGACCTAGTTGTACAGGCCACATTCCCAGCTACTCATGAGGCTGGGGCAGGCATCACAAGTCAGCCAGCCTGGGCTACACAGTAAATTCCAGGTCAGTTGAAACTACAGAATGAAACCTTATGTTAAAGAAATAGAAGGAGGTTGGGTGTTGGTGGTGCACACCTTTGATCCCAGCACTCTGGAGACAGAGGCAGGAGGACCTCTGTGAGTTAGAGACCAGCCTGGTCTACAGAGCAAGTTCCAGGACAGCCAGGACTAAAACCCTGTCTCAAAAACTAAAACAAAAAGGCCATAGAACAAATAAGCTTCCTTTAAACCCACCGCCATCCCCCTTGAGTTCCACATCCACAGCCCCAATCCTGGGGAGGGAGAGGCAGGAGCAGAATTTACAAGTTTGAGATCAACCTAGGCTACACAGAAGAAAGAAGGGAAGAGAAAAAGCAGGTAGAAGGGTTAGACAGACAGAACAGGAGCGAGTCTGTTCTGACGGGATGGTTAGAGCAGGGAGCTCTTGAGTGACACTCACTAGGATCCCAGCAAGCACAGAGAAGAGGTAGGAAGGACACAGGTCCTGGTGCGATACCAAATTAGATGTGTTTAAGGACTACAAGGAAGCCTAGCCTGTGCTCAGAGTGTTCCAAGTAAGGAAATAGAGGAGGGAAGGAGAGACCAACATGTGTGTGTGTGGCCAAAGGTCAACCTCGGGTGTACCCTTCAGGAGCTGTACCTTGCCTTTTGAGACAGGCTAAGGACTCACCATTTGGGCTAGGCTGACTGTCAGTCAGGTTCTGGGACCCTCCTGTCTCCACCTCCTCAGCGATGAACAGCAAGTGTGTTTTACCATACCGGCTTTTACTCTGGATGCTTAGGATTGAACTCAGGTCCCTGTGTTCCCAGGGCACCATTACCTGACCCAGTCATCTCCATGGGAGCCTTCCTGGCTTTTAAGACAAGATCTTGTGTAGCCCAGGTTCTCTCTGTAGCTGAGGATAACCCTGAATTTCTAATATTCCACCAACAAGGTACTCAGACAGCCAAGTTCAAATGAAAACTTGGTGCTTGGAGAACTACTATTCCCAACAGCACAAAAGAAACTAGGGGGTGGGGCAGAGAGCTGGCTGGGCAGTTAAGTGTGCTACTTGTTATTGCAGAGGACTGGGGTTCAGTTGCCAGCACCCACACTGGCAGCACACAGCTACCAACAACTCCAGTTCCAGCAGGAGCCAGTGTCTTCTGGTTTCTGTGGGCACTTGTGCATGCACACATGTGAGAACACACACACACACACACACACACACACACACACACACACACACACACACAATACAAAAATAAAAAAGAAACCACCCAAATGTTTGTCAGTAGATCAACAGAATGTGGCCAGCCCACGCACTAGGATATTATGCAATCATAAAGAGTAATGAAGACCTGACCCATACAACAACTGGGGTCAGTCATGAGTTCAAGATGTTGGGCCATCCCAGGGACATATGTCAACCAGAAAAATGAGAATAGGCAATTACCAGAGGCAGGAGACAGATCAGTGTTGCTGTGGTCTGAGAGAGGGGAGCAGGAATGAGTACTCATGAGGTCTGGGAGTCTTCTACTGCAGTGATGGCAATATTCTGGAACTAGACAGACATGATGGTGGCACAAGCTGGTGAACATGCCAAAGTTCACTACATTGTTCTGCAGTTGTATTCAAATAGTAAATGTTGTATGTATTTTGCCACACTAAAAAATATACAAAATGGCCAGGTATGGTGGGACATGAATTTGAACCCAACACTCAGCAGGCAGAAGCAGGTGGATCGCTGTGTTTGAGGCCAGCCTGGTCTATCTAACAAATTCCAGGATAGAGCCAGGACTCTAAATAGAGAGACTCTCTCTCTCTCTCTCTCTCTCTCTCTCTCTCTCTCTTCCTCCCTCCTCCCTCCACACACACACAAAATACACAATTTTTTTTGAGACATTCACTATGTAACTCTGACTGGCCTAGAACTTACTATGTAGAACAGGTTGGCCTTTGAATTCACAGAGATCCGCCTGTTTCTGTCTCTATGGTTCTCGGATCAAAGGCGTGTGCCATGGCTGCTTGCCAGCACTGGAGGGCAAAGACAGGCAGAGCCTCAGAGCTCACTGACTAGCTTAATCAGTGAGCTTCAGGTTTTGTCAGAGACCCTGTCTTGAACATAAGGTAGAGGCCAGTGAAATGGCTCAGCTGGTAAAGGCACTTGTTCTTGGCTTCAGGACCTGAGTTCCATCCCCAGGATCCACGAGGTAGGAAGAGAGAACTTACCCTGAAAATTGCCTGTTCATACACATGCTCATACATACATGGAAGAAATAAATGTTGCAGAGATGTCTCTCTGGAGTTCAAGCGGTCAAGGTTTGATCTACAGCACCTGCACTGGGGAGTCCAGGGACTCAGATGCCCTCTTCTGGCTCTCCCAGGCACTGCATGTACATGGTGCATAGGCATGCAGGCAAAATACTCATACACATAAAATAAAACATTTAAAAATCCTTTAAAACTTTTTAATTTGGATGTACTTATTTTATTTTATGTGTATGTTTTGCCTGCATGAATGTATGTGTATGTTGTGTGTCTGATGTCATCAGAGGCCAGGGGAAGTCATTACATCTCTGGGGAAACTTGAATAGAGGCTGGAGTTAAGATAGTTATAAGCCATTCTGTGGGTGCTGAGAACTGAACCCAGACCCTCTGAAAAAAAACAAGAGGTCTAAGCCGGGCGGTGGTGGCACACGCCTTTAGTCCCAGCACTCAGGAGGCAGAGGCAGGTGGATCTCTGTGAGTTTGAGATCGCCTGGTCTAAAAGAACGAGTTCCAGGACAGCCTCCAAAGCCACAGAGAAACCCTGTCTCAAAAACACAAAAACAAAAAATCTGGTCCAAGCAACTCTGCTATCTCTCTACCTATCCTCACCACACCTTTTTAAGACAGGGTCTCTCTAAATGATCTTATCTGTCCTGGAACTCCCTATGTAGACCAGGTTGACCTTGAACTCAGAAAGTTCTCCCTGTTTCTGTCTCCTGAGAGCCAGGATGAACAATGTGTGCCAACCATGTCTGGCAAATCTTAAAAAAATAAAACAAAATAGCTGGGCGTTGATGGCGCTTGCCTTTAATCCCAGCACTAGAGACAGAGGCAGGTAGATCTCTGTGAGTTCAAGGCCAGCCTGGTCTCTAGAGTGAGTGCCAGGATAGGCTCCAAAGCTACACAGAGAAACCCTGTCTCGAAAAACCAAAAATAAATAAATAAATAAATAAATAAATAAATAATAAAGTAAACAAGTCATTGAAGAATAGAACATGTCTTAACACCTGGTCTCCATGCATGTGCACATGCAGTCCTGTGAAGACACGCAGACTCCCAGAAGCATGCACATAACCACACACACTAAAATAAGGATAACTAGGAGGGTAGAAGGGGAGAGTGGTCCCCAGTCTCCCAGCCATGAGGACAGATTGGGTGTGGAACCCGAGAGTCTCCCTCACCCTGTAGTGAGGGTGCACTGGCATCTGCTTCAGGGTTCAGGGCCTCTGGGGTGCAGGGGAACAGACTGAGGACCACAGTGTCAGAGCTGTCTGGAGATTCGTCTCTGGGGTCCTCAGGATCCTCAAGTTCAGGCACAGGGGACTGCTGGTTTGGGATGAGGTTCTCTGCAAGCTGAGTGGGCTCCATGGGGGGAGCTGGAGGGAAGACAGGACAATAATTATCAAAAGCTTTCTGGAGGCTGGGTGGTGTGGTGTGGTGTGGTGTGGTGCGGTGCGGTTCACACCTTTAATCCCAGAACTTGGGAGGCAGAGGCAAGCAGATCTCTGTGAGTTCGAGGCCAGCCTGGTCTACAGAGCGAGTTCCAGGACTGCCTCCAAAGCAATACAGAGAAACCCTGTCTTGAAAAACCAGAAAAGAGAGAGAGAGAGAGAGAGAGAGAGAGAGAGAGAGAGAGAGAGAGGAGGGAGAACTGGGATTGACATGTAAAACAACTTTGTTTCTAATTTAAAATTTAAAACTAGAAAAAAAAAAAAAAAAGCTCTTGTGCCCCCATGATGGCTTAGCTTAGCTTGACACCAAGCCAGATGACCTAAGCTCCATTCCAGGAACCACATGGCTGACTCTAAGAAGTTGACCTCTGGCCGCCACATCAGCTCCACAGTACATCCCACTCCCAAAATAAAGGAATACATTAGTTCTCATCACGGGCTGGGACTTGGTTAGGTCGGGCACAATGGTGCACACCTTTAATCCCAGTATTCAGGAGGCAGAATCAGGTAGATCCCTTTGAGTTTGACACCAGCCTGGTCTACATAGGAAGTTCCAGGATAGCAGGGCTATGTTAGAGAGACTCTATCTCAATATAGATAGATCGATAGATGTGTAGTGTGTGTATATATATTTATAGGTATACATGCGCGCGCGCGCGCGCGCGCACACACACACACACACACACACACACAGACGCCACAGTCTGCATACTCAGTCTTGCCGGGTGAGGAAACTTAAGGCTTTGGATAATTGCCATGGCCAACAAATTAACACCAGAATCCCAGGCACTTGCGACAGGCAATAAAATCGGAGTTCGGGCAGCAGTCTGGGTTCAAATCCCCTCACTTACAAGCTGTGAAAACCTGGGATATGACTGAGCCGAGCCTCAGTTTTCTCCTCATAAGGAGAAGGAACGAGGCCTCAGAGAGCTCGAGTCAGAAGGCAGCATAGAGCGATACTAACCCCAAACTAAACAGTGCCCCTCTGTGGTTATTTGGGTCGGAGTCCTCCAAAATAATAAATGCCTTAGAGCTCAATAAAAGATGCGACTCAGGAGGTCCACTCACCTCCCTCCAGCCTCCTCCGTCCCCCTACGCTGCAAGCCTGGGTCTCCCCAAACTCAGGAGCCTCTATTCACAAACTTTTCGGGTCCAGTGGCTCTAGTGAAGTGCAAATTGGTGACCGGACGCTCAGCACTCTATCTTCCTCTGCCGGGACAGACAGCAGCAACTTAACAAGCGACTACTCCGACTGGAGAACTCCTCCACTGCGCCTGCGCACCCCTCCCCAGCAAAAGTGCCAAGAACCGAAGCTGCTTCTCGCCCTTTAAGATCCGAGGGCGGGGCATGGCGTCCACTGAGGCCGTAAGTTCAGCGGCGCATGCGCGCGTTCTCCCGGAGAGGGGCTGAAGGGCCTCAGACCGGCGGAGGATGTCACTGCGCATGTGCGGCCTCTCCGGCGTTCCTCCCCCCCACCGTCTTCCCCAATCGGAGCCACTTGTAGGTCGGAGGGCGGAGCATTCTGCAGACGGGGGCGGGGCTTAGCGAATTTAAAGGGGCCTATGGCACGGCACCCCTCAACATTTCCTTGCCCTGGTCCCCGGGGATTATCGGTGTGCGCAGGGCTATTGTGGCTGCCTGGGTTCCTTGACTAGGTACCTAGAGCATCAGGAAACCTCCCCGCTACCACGCGCACGCCCGGGGCTGCCTTCTTTCTCCCCACCTCCTGTCTGAATAGAAGCTGGCACGAAGAAGGTCAGCGGCCCCGACCGGCTTCGACCCGGAAAGTTTAAGTAGACGTCTCAGTCTCCCGACTTCCGGTTCCGGTTTTGAGGCTCTGCCTGGCCGCCTTCGCTATGGAAGAACCAGAGATGCAGCTGAAGGGCAAGAAAGGTGTTGCGGGACCCCGGGCGGATTGGAGGGGTCGGGGAGTCGTCCGATCGCGGCCTGCAGAGGGCAGTGCGGGGCTCCGCGGAAAAGGAAGGCCGGCGTCTCCCGGCGGGAGGTGACATGACAGCCGTAGTGACCCGGGCCAGGGGAGCCTCGCTCTGTGTGTTTGTTTTTGAGACGAGGTCTCAGTGTGTAGCCCTGTCTTGGAACTCGCTATGTAGACCAGGCTGGCCTCTTAACTCCTCTGCCTCCCGAGAACTGGAACTAAAAGCGTGCACCCCATGCTCAGTTTAATTTGTTTTTATCCTGTGAACACGTAAACGAGTGTGCGGGCTTGGTGGCGGAATGCTCTAATCTTTACTCGGGAGGCAAGAATCCGGATTACTGATTGAAGGCCAGGTTAACCCTGGTGAGACATGACAGAAGAGCTGGGGCTGTGTCTCAGTGTGAGCCCTTTGCCCGGAATGTCAAGGCTCTGGGTTTGACCCCGACATTGTAGAATAAAGTCCGGTCAAGTAGGTACTTTTCTTTGGCTGGAGGGAGCCCTGGGTGATGAGAAAGCAGGGCCTACGTCATTTTTGCCTTGGGAGTTGGCGCCATCTGCCGCCCGTAGCTGGGACTGTTGTCAGAGCTGGTGTGGTACAGGCAGGAGAGGGGTCAAAAGTGCAGTTGGAAGCAGTAGAATCTTTGATAGATGGAGCAGGAAGGTTGGAGACTTGGCTGATTGGAAAGCCCTTGCTAGAGGTCCACTCTAGGATGATGGTTTATGTGCAGTTGACTTGTAGAAGAAACAGGAATTCCGGGGGCATAGGAAGCAGGTGGGCTTTACAGGAACTTGGATGGGCACCCTGCTATAGCAGGGCTTGTGGTGCTATACCTTACAGTTGTTCCAGCACAGCAGGGGACGTGGGCTTCCACATCAGTCCCGTCTTGGTCAAAGTAGGGGCCACACAGGGATGTGAACCTTAGGCACCTTTGGGTTCTGTGGTCATCCTCTGGTCAGCTGGGCATGGTGGTACATACTTCTCCTCCCAGCTCTTGGGAAGCAGAGGCAGGAGGACTGCTGTGAGTTTGAGGACAGCCTGGTCTACAGAGTGAGTTACGGGGAATCTGTAACTACTGGATTATAATATGTTCCATACTGGTCTCTAGTATGATGTTATAAAGGAGGTCAAAGGGTCTCAGTGGCATTAGTACTGTTCACCAGTATCCCCTGGAAGGGGGTTTGTGGGGAGGCGGAAGAAGCCTGTGAGTTCAGTGTCTGCTCATGCCCCTTTGAGTTAGGCCCTGCTGTTGCTGTCTCTAGCTGCCCCTGGGTCTGTGGATTACAGTTACAGGAGTGAACCCTGGCAGATCCTCTCTTGATTGGGCTCAAAGATTGCACAATCCAGAGGCCAACGTGGGCTGCGGCTCAGTTGGCAAAGTTCCTGCCTAGCATAAAACTGGGCTACGTGGCCAGCACCACATAAAGTAGGTATGGTGCTGGACATCTGCAGTCCAGCACTCAGGGGGTGGAGGCAGGAGGATTGGGAGTTCAAAGTCATCCTTGGTTGCAGAAAGCTAAAGTCTGGCCTGGGCTACACAAGACCCTATCTTTAAAACGATTTTTTTTTTTTTTTAAAGAAGCTAGAGAGTTGTCTCGGTATTTAGGAGTGCTTAATGACCTTACAAATGACTGGAGTTTGGTTCCCAGCATTCACGTTGCTCAGCTCACGACCACCTGTAACCTCGGCTCTTCTGGCCTCCTTGGCGCTGCGCTTATACGTACACATATAGATACATGCACATACGCATGATTCAAAACAAAATAAATACAAGGCTCTAATACTTGTCCCTTATTCCCATCCCCACCATGTCAAACCCAGTCACAGACAAGTTCACTGAGAGTGTCTATGTCCTGGCCAATGAGCCGTCAGTGGCCCTGTACCGGCTACAGGAACATGTGCGCCGCTCACTGCCGGAGCTGGCCCAGCACAAGGTGAGTTCTGCCAACCCAGCAGAGGCTCTCCCCCAAGTCCAATCAGAGCCCCTGAGCAGATGTGGGGTGCTATATGCGGAGGGGCTGAAGTCAAAGCAGAGACGCTGGTGAGGTGGCCTGTGGCAGCTAGGTCGGGTTGGACAATGTGGGGACAGCTCTTGGGTGGCTTTTGAAGGAGACAGCATGTCTATGTTAGTGACCAGCAAGGTAAAGGAAGAGCCCAAAGAAGGGTGTGCCAGGCAGAAGAAATAACTATTGCCAAGGGCTTGAGGCCTGCCAGTCACACAGAGCCCTAAGGGGGAAGGGAGCTACCGGAGGAAGTCTCTGCTCTAAGCAAGAGGTAGGGAGGCCCAACTAAGACATCTGAGGGGAGTGCAGGACTCTGGTGGGACTTGGGGGATGAGGAGCTCAGAGGGGTTCTGTCATATAACACTGCTTTCCATAGAGCCTTCTCTCCTAATGCTCTGCAATCCTGCAGGCTGACATGCAGAGGTGGGAGGAGCAGAGCCAGGGCGCCATATACACTGTGGAGTATGCCTGCAGGTGAGGCACCCTACTACATCTGTCGCAGGGTAGAGTGGCACACATTCCCAATCCTTGTCCCCCACTTGCTGTGCAGCCATGACACCTCAGTTGGGTCCTTCATGGTTGTTCTTAGAGAGTTTGGGGACTTGACTGTTTGCCTCTGACTTGGGGTGGGGGTGTGACTCACTGGATAAAGTGCTTGCTGCACAGGTTCCATCTGAAGCACCCTTATTGACAGTTGGTATGCACCAGCAAGTCCAGCTCTGAGGAGGTGGAGGCAGGAGCATGCCTAGAGCACCCCTAGGCCGTTAGTCCCATCGGCAAGTTCCTAATTCACTGAGAAGCTCCTGTCTCAGACTAGGGACTAAGACTCAGTTGATAGATGCTTGCCTCAAAAATAAGGCGGTGGTGGCTCAAGCCTTTAATCCCAGCACTCGGGAGGCAGAGGCAGGCGGATCTCTGTGAGTTCGAGGCCAGCCTGGTCTACAAGAGTTAGTTCCAGGACAGCCTCCAAAGCCACAGAGAAACCCTATCTTGAAAAACCAAAAATAAAGAAATAAAGAAATAAGGTGGAGAGCAGTTGATAAACATGCCCAGTGTTGACCTCTGTCCTCCACACATGTACACTCACAGGTACACACACACACACACACACACACACACACACACACACGCAAACACCCACAAACACCCACAAACACAAAAAATCAACTTCCTCCCAGCTGAGGGGTAGCACAGAGCCTGAGGCCAGACCACAGTTAAGGGGTTGTCTTCTACCCTGTGCTGTGCCCTCCAGTGCAGAGCCCAGGCAGCAGGTCCTGACATGCCTACCACTTGTGCCTGTCATGTTGTTTTTGAGTTGGGCCTTGGTGTATCTCTAGGCTTAAGTGGTCCTTCTGCCTCCGCCTTCCTAGGAGCTGAGGTCATTCTGCTTATGACTTCTGCTCACGCACGAGATTTTATTCAGCATTATGTGTGTGTGTGTGTGTGTGTGTGTGTGTGTGTGTGTGTGTGTGCACCTGTGCAATGTTCTCCTTTCACTGTGGAATCCCAGGCATAGAGTTCGGGTCATCAGCATTGGTACAGGGCCTTCACCATATTTCTGGGTCCCTACTGTTCTTTTTGTTGAGTTCCTTCTCCGGGTTCTGGGGAGCCATAGTTGACTCTGTGAGCATGGCCTTGAGTCTCTGCTGTGCCTATTGGGCTGTGGAATCTACAGGATTCTGTTTTCCTCTCTGTACTTTTTTTCCCTTTTTCTTTTCTGTTCTTTTTTCCTTTTCTTCCTTTCTTTCCCTTTTTCTTTTCTTTTCTTTTTCTTTTTAAACAAGCTCTCGATGCTCTGGCTGTCTTAGAACTCACTCTTTAGACCAGGCTGGTCTCAAACACAGAGATCCTCCTGCCTCTGCCTCCCAAGTGCTGGATTAAAGGAGTGCGCCACCACACCTGGCTTTTTTCTGCACTCGTAGGCCTCCTCGGAAGCAGGCCAGCTCTCCTTTTGAGCCACCATCCCTGTGTCCAGCTTACTGTGTATTCTGGGCACAGTCACCCCTACAGCATTCTCACTGCTTTGTAAAGTGCAGATCAGGCAGCCAGTGCTTTTGATATATACACCCTCAATTGCCTGGGCTTTTCATGGACTCTTAATGAGGACTTGAGCCCCTTATGTGCACAATTCTGTGGGGTTTTCTGGACATGAGAGTAATAAAGTCCTCAGTCTCTGCTCACAGGAAGGACGTAGGGCCAGTGAGAGGTCTCGGTGGATGAAGGTGTCTGTGTCAAGGACAGAGAGAACTGACTCTGGCGGGTGTCCTCTGACCTCCACAGGGCACCACTGCAGATGCAACCCCTCCACAAATAAATGGTTTTTGTTGGTTTGTTTTTTAAGATTTGTATAATATGCTGGGCAGTGGTGGCACATGCCTTTAATCCCAGCACTCGGGAGGCAGAGGCAGGCAGATCTCTGCGAGTTCAAGACCAGCCTGGTCTACAAGAGCCAGTACCAGGACAGCCTCCAAAGCCACAGAGAAACCCTGTCTCGAAAAACCAAAAAAAAAAAAAAAAAAGAAGAAGAAGAAGATTTATTTATTTATTTTGTATACAGTGTTCTGCCTGCATATATGCCTGCTCCCCAGAAGAGGAAGCCAGATGTCATTACAGATGGTTGGGAGCCACCATGTGGGTGCTGGGAATTGAACTCAGGACCTCTGGAAGAGCAGCCAGTACTCTTAACCTCTGAGTCGTCTCTCCAGTCCCATTAAACCTCTTTAATCGTTAACAGTTAACAGTGTTAGAAGTTGAGCCTGCCTCCGAAGCTTCTCAATGAGGGATCCCAGGCTGCTGGTGTGGCCAGGGTAGGGACGTTCATGGCAGCCTTGCTGCTGACCTCACTGCTTTCTGTTTCAGTGCTGTGAAGAGTCTGGTGGACAGCAGTGTGTACTTCCGCAGTGTGGAAGGCCTGCTCAAACAGGCCATCAGTATCCGCGACCACATGAACACCAGCGCCCAGGGCCACAGGTAGCCTCAGCTATCCGCCCCCACCCCAGGCCCTGTCACCACCCTAGCCAGTGAGCTGTCCAGCTGTTCTTTGGCTTCTGTGGCACAAATATCCTGTAACCCAGCTGCCTGTGAGGAACACAGCGGTGCCTGATTGACAGGCTTGCAGGGGCAGTGACCAAGAAACACGGGTCAGAGGACATGTGTGGGCAAGGAGCAGCCTTCTGGCATCCCCAGGAATGTTACCAGAGCAAGGCCCCAAGTTGGCACTCTGGGTCCATAAAAGGAGCAAAAAGAATGATTAGTGGGAAGTTGAGATTGGCCGGGAGCTAGGCTCTTCAACTGCCCTGCCATGGTTTCTCCAGCTGAGTGAAATGAAAGCACCGCTGGCCTCGGAGTTTTTGTGTTGGTTATAACTCAATAAACACATAGCTGCCCTGCACCGATGTCAGCCCGTCATTAGCTGGGGTCCACCAACTCTGGCCTGGTGCTGGAATGAGAGGAGCAGCAGTAGAAAGCACTGCAGACCCCTGCTCGCCACTCCTGCATCTGCAGGGCCCCATCTGACCAGGCAGCCTGGTCTGGCCTCTGGAGTAGGTGCTAACCCACCTTTAGAGTAGATCCAAGAACTCAGACCATGGGTCTTGGGGGACCAGGGTGTGACTCCAACCGCTAACCAGCACAACTGAGCTGTCCACTGACTTGTGCCATGAGTCTCATGCATCCCAAATGTTTTGTTTCAGCCAGGAGAAACTGGCCTGACCCTGACCCCAGAAGACTCTTGGGGCCACCAGCTTCCCACCCAGGTCAGTGCAGAGGCTGCCACTGCTGAGCTAAGCTGTTTCCTTGTGTCTCTGCAGGGACCTGCTGTCTAACTGTTGGGTTTCCTTGCTGCCCTTCTGGGATGGTCACTTGGGGGATTGCCTCTGGTTGCCTCCTCTTCCTCCTTAGGTGGAGGCCGGCCTCCTGTGCCCAAACCACTCAGCCTCTGTGTAGCCTTGAGGCACCCCTCACTTCTATGGTCTTCAGCTTTTCCCTCATGTAAAAATGGCTCATCCAGCTGAGGCCATGTGGTCAGTGACAGCTATAAGTAACAGCTGTGTCCATGTGAGAGATAAACATACAAAATCCTAACCCTTAACAATACTATAAACTGACCAGCCCCTGATGCTGCTTTAGGCTGCATAGTTGGGTGCTTCCTCTGGCCTTGGCCTGTTGCTGTGTTGCAGGGTGGGGGGCCGGGTTTTCTGGGGTCCCTTCACCACCTCAAGCAGAGGGGCCCGACCATGGTCCCCACTGGTACTGACCATCCTCTGCTGTGGAGGCCCAGGGGGTGTGTAGAGACTGGCTCACAGCCCCAGAGCCCAGAGGCAGCAGAGTCCACTTCCAGGACAGTAAGAGAGTGCTGATTGGTGGTGAGATCATCGGGCATTAATTAGGCACCTCACTTGTACAGTCAGCATTGCTCAAGCTCCTTGTATAGCAAGAACTTATTGGGTACTAGTCAGAGGGCACTCACTGAGTGTGTCAGCTTGCCAGGGTTCTGGGCACCCACCCGCTGTCACCCCCACCACAGGAGAAGAACAGTTCTTCACTTGAGAGTCCCGTGGGATATCTGGGAGGACCCTACACTAGAAGGGCTCCCAGGTGTGTGCAATGTGATCCTGTCAGCCCTGGTGTACCCCTATCCCATTCCCAGCCCACACCTGAGCACCCCTGTGTTCCTGCCCCAGCCCCTGCCTGGGCACCCCTGAATTCCTGCCCCAGCCCCTGCCTGGGCACCCCTGAATTCCTGCCCCAGCCCCTGCCTGGGCACCCCTGAATTCCTGCCCCAGCCCATGCCTGGGCACTCCTGAATTCCTACCCCAGCCCCTGCCTGGGCACCCCTGAATTCCTGCCCCAGCCCCTGCCTGGGCACCCCTGAATTCCTGCCCCAGCCCATGCCTGGGCACCCCTGAATTCCTACCCCAGCCCCTGCCTGGGCACTCCTGCATCATGTGTCTCTGCTCTGCTCACCTTGTGGTGTACCGGACTCCTCTGGATCCCACCTTCAGCTCTACAGACTTCATCTCCCTGGGATTACCACCCCTGTGTCCCCCAAAGCCACTCTCCTCAGATCACCAGTGGCCTTCATGGGTCAGCTCCTCACTGCCTGTCTAAACCCAAGGCCCTCAGCACAGTCTAAAAGAGGAATCTGGCTTGGTGGTGAGACAGCCTGCTCCAGCTGCAGGGCAACGTTCACACCCTGGCCTCCTGACCCTTAGCTCTCCACCCCTACCTCCACTCTCCACCCCTACCTCCACTCCCTGGCCTTGCAGAAGCAGGCCCTCGGACACCACACCTGAGAACTCAGCAGGAACTGAAAAGCTAGCAAGGTCTGGTGCATCCTGGCTCAGCCATAATCCCCCCCCCCACACACACACACCTTGGCCATGAACCAGGATCATTGTTCCAGTAGCAATCCAGGGCAATCTTGGTAAATATACATTAAATGTCCAGAAGTTGTTCTTTCATGCTTTGGTTACATGGCCTACATTATGTCACATAGCTGAAGACCAGACCCTGCCTCTGACGTGTGTTGCAGGGCTGGATGCTGGCTTCTCTGAGATTGAGGTGAACACCTCTCCCTGTCTGACCTCTTAGGAGCCACTGGATAATTGTCTACCACCTGCATTCAGAGCAGGACCTGAGTCCCTGGCTTGGCCACTAGCTCCTGTCTCCTGGTCATGATGGGAGGGTGCATCTGGCCTACAACTGAGCCCTGGGTTCCATTCCCAGAATCACACATACACCAAACAACTAACACACACAAAACAAAACAAAACAAAACAAAAAATGCCAAAGTTGGAGCTATTGGAGCCAGAGCAGTACATCACAACCTGCATAAAGACTCCAGGTCAGCCATGAACAGGAGTCATGAAGCCCAGCTGTTTGCCAGTCAGACATGTTAGGGGCTGGGGGGGGGGGCAGCTCAGTCACCCAAGTACTTGCCTCACAACTCTGAGGACCAGAGTTCAGCCAGCAGTACCCACATTATTAAAGCCAGGCATGTGGACAACGTTTGTAAGCCCATCAACACCCACACAAACCTGTTTCCATAGATAACATGCATATAAATAGTAAATGTTAAGAAGTACCCCCAGGATTCAGCCACTGAAGCAACTGGGTGTTGTGAACTTTAAGGGATAGGCCTGGGGCACCTAAGGTGCTTCAGAGCTCCTTGACACCCCCAGCCCCTGGGTGCCCCTCACCTGGCAGCTGTTACCTTTCAGGGGTTCCAGAGCACTCAGCACCTGTTGCCCCTGCCTCCCAGGGACATGGCTAATTTACATCTCATTTGCATCCTCCTCCAAGAGCAGAGTATTGTGCACAGTTCTGCCCACGCAAACCTGACAAAGGCACCTGCTCCTTTTAAAGTGAGCTGAGCCTTCAGGGGACTAGCACTCAGCAAGCCTTACGTCTGTCCCCACACTGCTCCAACCAAAGCTCGAAGCCTCCCTTATCCACCTCACTCAGTCACTTGGAAACAGGTGGTGACCTTCCTGTGCCATGGGGCATCCAAGAAGGAAGCTAGCAGCCACTCAACTAGAATTAGCCTAGAAGGAGTTGACCTTGAGTGAGGGATAGGCCCCAGGTCTGTCAGGGCCAAAAAGGAACCCATAGTGGCCTGTGCTTATGACTTCAAACTTTTTACATTTACTTTATTGGGGAGAGCTCATTAGCATTACAGCTGGCAGAGGTATGGAGAAAGTCGGAGAACTGTTCAGCATCCTCCCACCATGGGGTCAAACTCAGGTCACCTGGTTGGGCAGCTAGCACCTTTACCCACTGACCCAATCTCACGGATCTTGACTGTGTTTTTGCTATGTAACCCAGGCTGGCCATGAGCTGAAGACCCTGTACCTCCTTAGTGCCGAGGTCACAGCCCAGCACCACCAGGCCCAGCTGTACTCACTTTTTAATATTTCACTGTGAAGTACAAATGAGGCTTTTTATATTTTTTTTAGAGATTTTAGAGATTTAATTTTAGTTTTGCATATGTGTATGGTTATTCAGGAGTGCAGGTGTCCACTGAGGCCAGAAGAGGCACTGGAGCCCCTGGAGCTAGAGTTAAGGTTGGCTGTGAGCCGCCATGTGCGTGCTGGGAACTCAAGTCAGCCCTCTGCAAGGACAGTGTACTCTTAAACTGGGCCATTCTGCAGCCCCTCTGGCTTTCTGTCTGCCCCCTGCTCCAAGTCAGCCTTTCTTTCCTGCTTTCCCTACCCCTATCCCCTAGCTTCCCGGAAACCCTCTCTGTCCACAAACAGACCTGTGTGTCCCAGATGTGGCTCTGCACCCCTCCTCTTCACAGACTGTCTCCAGGGCCTGCGGGTCTTGGAGAGACCTGTGCAGACACTTTGGTGTCAGCATGCTGGACCTGGTTCCAAGGGGTCCCCAGTGGGGGATGTAGTATCCGGTCCACCAGCATTGGATGGATGGAGTTGAGGAGGAGATTCTCAAACAGAGAGGATGAGAACACCAGAAGTGGTTCCCCAGAACCTGTGACTTTTGTCCCTACTTTTTCTGCTAGCAAAGAGGCACAGGGAGGTGAAGTGACCAGCAGTCACACACCAAGCCCTGATAAGGAGTAGTGGGCCCTGAAAAGCTTCCAGACTTCCCTGCTGGTGTGGTGGCTCACGCCTGTCATCATAGCACTGCTTCGGTGAAATCAACCAAACCTGCAGCTCAGGGCCATCTCCAACAGCCAGGCAGACTGGTACATACCTGACATCCCAGCACTTGAGGCAGGAGGATCAGAGGTATCCCTAAAATACCTCTTTTGGTTATTTGTCTTGTTTCCAACACAAGGTCTCTGTGCGGCCCTGGTTGTCCTGGAACTCACTCTGTAGACCAGGCTGCCTTAGAACTCAGTGATCCACCTGCCTCTGTCTCCAAGTGCTGGCTTAAAAGCATTTGTCACCGTATCAGACTCAGGGTTGTTGTTATTTCATAAATAGTTTGAAGCCAATTTTGACTCCTTACAGGGGATTGTCCTACACACACACACACACACACACACACACAGAGAGAGAGAGAGAGAGAGAGAGAGAGAAAGAGAGAAACCCAAGAAGCAGCTAGGCGGGGGCAGTGCACGCCTTTAATCCCAGCCCTCAGGTGGCAGACTCAGGCGGACCTCTGTAAATTCAGGGGTCAGCCTGGTCTACAGAGCAAGTTCTGGGACAGGCTCCAAAGCTACACAGAGAAACCCTGTCTCAACCAATCAACTAAACAACAACAAAAAAACAAAAACAAAAACAAAAAACAAGAAGCAAAGAGCCCCCTTGGCTTTCAGACCACCTTATCCCTCGCTCCAGCCACTCATGTGCCCTGTCACCTGAATAGCCAGGGACATTGAAAGTGATGGGATTGAAAGGGTCCAGGCAGCGGGCGAGCCTCAGTGGGTATGGGGGCGTGGCTTTGTGGGGGAGGGTTGCGCCCCCTGCGAGCCCTGCTGCAGCTGCCGCCCTCACGTAACCAGAGCCTGCGGGTTGCATCAGAGCCAGGGGGAGGTGGCCAGGTAAACAGCGGGGCCCCGGAGGCCGGGGCTCCCCAGGCTCCTCCGTCTACAAGAGCCTTGTTCTTCGTCTCGGAGCCCAGACAGAAGCCCCCAGGCTGGGCCCGGATCTTGGTGTGTCCTGGGAACACCTGTGGGTGTGGAGTGAACAACTGGGCGAGGGCCGGGCACCCACCTTCAGCACAGCTCGAACCTTTCGTTTTTTTGAGTCTGAAGAGAAAGTTTATAGCTGTGGTTTACTGCTATCACTCAAATGCTCAGGGGGTGAGGCAAGGGGACTGCCCTGAGCCTGGGTTACAAGAGTGAAACCCGACCGTTGAGGGGTCGGCAGAGTTGTCCCGAAACTACAGGGTTCCAATTACACAGGTGTGTAACAAGGCCGAGGCACCCAGTCAGCTGTTCCCCGGCCCCACACCCCAGCATCCTTCACCCCGAGGAGGCAAACTGCTCACCCTGGAAAGCCCACTGCAAATGTCCGGTTTCTGGGAAGCACTCCCCATCCTCCACAACTCTGGTCTGGCCTCCCATTGTCCCCATGGCCCAGCCTTTCCTCCTAAGAGCTGGATAGGGGAGCATGTGGGGATTCTTCATACAGGGGGCTTCACTCCACAGCCAGCTTTGTCCCTGATCTCTGACCCTGTAATTCTTTTCTCTTTGATGTTCACTTCCGGCTTGGGTCTTGTGACCCTGGCCTTGTGCGGGAGGGTGCCGGTGGGAGTCCTAGAAGGCCCCACACAGTGGTGTGCTGAGACAGGCATGGTGGCATAAGCCCAGAAGGGGACAGGGTGACGTCACAGGGCCCAGTGAAATATATGAGGATACTGGCAGGAGGCACAGCTGGGTAGGGCTACACTGGGAATCCCAGGCTCCCCATGAAGTGGTTCCAATTTCAGAAGGCCCTGAGCCAGGATTCAAGCCTGATTTGGTCCCGTTTGCCAGCAGAATCGGGGTTCTAGGAGGGTTTTTTTTTTTGTTGTTGTTGTTGTTGTTTCTTTATTTGTTCGTTTTGTTGTCGTTTCTTGAGACAGGGTTACCCAGTAGTTATGGAGCCTGTCCTGGAACTCGCTCTGTAGACCAGATTGGCCTCGAACTCACAGAGATCCGCCTGCCTCTGCCTCCTGAATGCTGGGACTAAAGGCGTGCACCACCACCTCCCGGCTTGCCTCTCCCTCCTTAATCCTAAAGTTGCAGTGGCATTTTTTTCTTTCAGTGTTGGAAATGGAAGGTAACTTTTTGCCTGCTAGGCAAGCACTCTACCACATTTTCATGCCTCTTATTTATTTATATATATATTTTGAGCTCGGGTCGTCCAGGCTAGCCTTAGACTCATCACCATCTTCCTGTCTCAGCCTCCTGAGTTTCTGGGCTTACAGACTTGAGCCACCTGGTCCAACTTACTTCTTTCTGTAGAGGCAGATCTCAGAATTGCGCAGGATGTCCTTGAGCTCTCTGTATGTACCCCACACTGGCCAGAAACTTACTCCAGCGGCTGCAGTAACTGGTAGGACAGGCTGTCACCAAACCAGCTGGCAACTCTACTCCACAGCTGAAGTGTATGGTGCAAACTGAGGTCAGGGTCACAGTGAGATCCAGGAGCACTGAATCCTCAAGGAGAAACCCAGCTGTTTGCATGCACCCTTGCCTGATTTTTTAAAAAATCATATATATATGATTTTTTAAAAAATCATATGTGAGGAACAGGGTGTGCCACAGCATAGGGACACCAGAGAGCAACCGGCAGGGGCTCTTCCCTTCCACCCCTCAAGCACTGGGGATTCAACTCTGTGCATCATGTTTAGTGGTTTTGACTGGACCCCCGTTCCCATTTTCTTTATGTGCACTAGTGTTTTGCCTGCAGTTGTGAGCTTCCAGATGGGTGCAGGGAATTGAACATGGATCCTCTGGAGGAGCAGTCTGTGCTGTCAACCTCTGAGCCGTCTCTTC